TATCAATTTCTTCGGAGTCAGACGAATGTTTCGACCTGCACTGCTGCAATACACTCCATTTCCACTGTCCCTAATTTCATGTATATATAAGTACTTTATTTATTAAACACTACTGGTCATTTAAAATTTACTAAAAAAAAAAATAACAAGACCAGCAGAAATACAGATTTTTAATGTGGTTTGAACCAGATAAAAAACAAAACAAAACAAAAACCAACAGCAACAAAAAAATAAACATGTTATTTAAATACATAGGACTTTATACCTACAGGTGCTACAGTCCAGTCTATTGTGTATCTGGTGCTCTGTCATGTTTTGTGTGTTCATTTCTTTTTGTCTTTTCGCTCCAGCCCCTTTATTTCCTGTTTTGTACAAATTTTGAAGACATACAGGTAGATGTAATTTCTTGATGCAGCACATGTTTTGTCTGTATTATTTCCACAGGTCTTTCCCCTCTCTATTTTTTTTTTTTGGTAGAACAGTGTTGGGTTTGATTTTTATAATCCAATTTTAGGAAAACACCAGTTCTATAATTATATAAAATTTGTAATCTGAGGGGCAGAAATTTATTGTAAATTCTTAACTTTTTAGCTTTTTATTGTAAAGAAAATATACAGAGTTTAACAGAAAGTTATGCCTTTCCTTCTCCCAGCACCAGCCCCGATGGCTGCATCTCTGCTGTGGCGTAGCCCTGAACTTCACCCTGCTGAGGAGTGGCCTCAAAGGGCTCCTCAGCCCTGGCACGGGATTTTTGTTGCACGGTCAGCCTCCAAGAGCTAGGACAGGAGCTGGTGTGCTGGGAAACGTGGAGCCTGGGGGATAGCCCTTTGCTGAAAAGCCAGGGGGCTGCAGGGCCAGCCTGCTGTTAGCACTCCATGGTTTGCACTTACTGCATCCGCATTCAGCTGCCAGTCACTTAGTGAAAACCTGAGGTTTTATTAGCCAGACCCTTAGGAGATGGGGTTATCAGGAAGTTTATTCTTGCATCTGGCCTTTAGAAATCCATCTTTCAAGGATCAGCATTTCAGGTTGTTCAGATGTGCGTCTCATACAGCCTACTGGCCCTGTCTGTGTCTTTTATCTCTATAGTGACAATAGCACTCTGCAGTTTGCTGTAGAAAGGAATTCCCGTTTTCTGCTAAGGGTTGAAAGAGATGCTCTGCTGCTGTAAACAGCTGTAAGTAGCTGGACGTCCTCAGCTCATTTTGTAATTGCTGGGGTGCTTGGCCCACTGGCAGAAAGCCCTCCAAGTCTTTGCAGATTGAGTTTCCTGTAGTGTTGGAAAATGCGTGGACTCGTGTGTTCTGATTCTTGCTGAAATTAATGATTTTTCTTTTCCATTAACAATGAAGTTATTTTTAGTTGCTATATTTTTTTAAATTCTGCCCTTAAAAAAAAAAAAAAAACACCTTCCCCTAGACAGATACTTAGTAATATATTTTCAGAATTTTACTACGAGGAGATGTAATATACACCTAATTAAGCTTAGGTTTTTTTTTAATGAGCTTGGATTTCATCTGTCTTTCTCCTAGTGTCTGAGACTTGCATTATCAAAACTAACTAGTACTTTTAATTAAATTAATTGCTACCAATTCAATACCACGACAGCTTGGAGAAACTGGCTCCCGGCTTTCCCTGCTGAAATCCTTTCCTGCATTCACTTGAGCTATGCCGTTGATGTAAGGTGATGGTCGCCCCGGACAAAAGGTGCTCCTGTGCAGAGAACATCCCCCAGCCAGCATTTGGAGGCAGTGGCAGCCCGCCCAGCAGCTCTCTCACCAGCATCACCACCGTGCAAAGCCCGAGGACCTGGCTCTGCAGCACGCCGCCGTCCCCTGACGCTGAGGCCAGGGTGCAGACACCCACCTGGACACGTAGGTCTGTCCTGACAAGTGGAAAGGTTGGAGCCGAAGGCTTGGAAACAAGCGTGAAGTGATGGAAAGGGGCCTGGCCTGGGACTGTCTGCAGTGCTGGAGGAGGATCCCTGCTTTAGTTGGCAAACTTGTCCTAGCCTGGGGATTTGCAAGGAAAACAAGCAAACAAAACAAAACAAAAAAAGGAAAGATGAAGAGGCACCTGCCTATCCTTGATAAGCCAGCAGCGACTTGGGCTTCTCTATTTGGTGGAAAACTTTCATGGAAAGTAAGATGTTTTCCAATGAATGGCAGCTCACAGGATAAATCCATTTTGGCGTGACCATTTCAGGGGAAAAAAAAAATCGGTGACTCTTCACTGCAAAATGTTCTTACATTTTTTTCATTTTCGTATTGTTTGTAGTGCTCATTATCTCCTGATATGTCAGTAGTGGTGCCTCTTGTACATCCAGATCAGAGTGTCTCCTGGAAAGAAGAGATGTTTTCAGTCCATAGTAAGTAGCAGCTGCCCTTAATGAGTTGGAAACGGAAACAATAGAGCATTTATTTAACCGAGTTTGTATTGCATGACACGTCAGTGCATGATGTCATGAAATAACTTGGAAATGATCAAATGTGTAAGTAACATTTGAAATGGCATTTTTAAACTTCAGAATGAAAAAGACTGAATTTTTTATGGTAGGATTTTTTCTTGAATGAACAAAGTCTAACTTTGTTTTCCAGGGGAAATTTCACTGAAATCAGTATGATTTCATATGTATACATACACACATAGTTTTATTGAAACTGTTTTTTCTGAAGAATTCCTGTTTTGACAAAACGATTTCTGACCAGACCTAATACCAATCAACCAGCATTACTGCACCTTTAAAAACTTTGTTAAACTTTGATCTGATTGTAAGGTCAGCCTGTCTCCTGGCATACCATCAGACGTAGGCTCAATGGGACCAGAGGGAGATCCGCATCCCGTGGGCTCAGGCCCTGGTTTATCTACTAAAGGAATCTGTCGAGTCCGACAGTTTTCTGCTAACCAAATGTTGTCTATACAAAATCTTTTCAGTTTTGTATCGATGTGATTTTAAACTTTCCTACCGACAGGGTTTGTAACTGTAGAACTGATATTTCAGGACTATGTAGCTGATGTCTGTGGGGTGTGTGCACAGTCGCTGCACGCACCCACACACACATACACAAGCACGTGTGTGCGTGTATATATACAAATTTAGTTACCCAGTGAGGTCTCTTTCCATGTTCTCTATGTGGTAGAAGCAGACTGCAGTTACCTAATCTAGTTCTTTCTCTGTTTTGGGGACTCTTAGACCAGTTTTTAATTTTTTCCTTGTTTTGAAAGGAATGATGTTTTTTAAAGCTGGGGTTGGAGCTAGGGGGAAGGGATTGGGGCATGACAAACAAACAAAAAAACAAACACACAAAACACAACCTTTTAGTAATGAATTTTTAAAAAAGGAATACTCTATTACATGAGCAGTTACCACTAGGGCTAACTGGGCAGGCTCTGCATTGTCGAAGATAAATTTAGGGCGAGGATGCGTTACACTAGCAGCATTATCTTGCTTGTAAAACAATGAGATGCATTTAAAGCAAAAATGGTATTTGCATATCTTTTTAAATGTCATTTTTAAAAATAAATAAATCACCAGCTAGGATTTGACACAGGCCACTTAGAACTTATCCCTGATACTGGCATAACCAATCCAGAAAGATTTGTTGTTGTATTTGTTTTGTTTTTCCTTTTTTTAATATTTAAAAAAAAAAATGTTACTTTTCTGTATGATGTGCATGCAAATTTACCGTAACTTTTTCTTAAAACTTTTTAGTGCCATTTCTAGTATATTCCTGTAAATGTCAGTTACTGGAAAAAAAAAAAAAGTCAATGTAAGTAGTTTAGCTTGTTTATTGCAAATTGCTGGCCTCAAACACAACAGAATTTTTAAAAAAAAGTTAGAAAGTAATCTTTGATGTTACTGGTAATGGACCCTGGTCCTGGGGCATTTGTTTTGTTTTCATAATAAAAAGAAAAATTGTTTTGTGTGTGCAGTTTTATACTATATTTTCCCCTCTCCTCTTCCTTTCCTCAGTTTCCCTTTCAGGTGTGGCAGCTCAGCTGAAAACCAGTGGGGCTTTGACTTACCAATTGGTAGAGTAGCATTGCCACCAAATATAAAAATACTAAGTGAAATAATTTGGGAGTTATTTTGCAAGCCCAGCTGTTAGCACGGATGGTGTGCTGCACTCCTGGGGGCAAACTGCCTGCAGAGCAGAGGGCAAGGCTGGGGTGCTGCCAGCTTGGCCTGGGGGGCTCTGAATCACATCTCAGTACCTGCCATATGCTAAATACACTTCTTTTTTTTTTTTTTTGGTGAGGATTTTGGGCTGCTTCAATGCAGGGGGGCAGCCAAGGAAGGACGTTTCCCTTCCTAGAAAAACCTATGATCTGAAGGGGCCTCACCTTGTGAGAATTGCACCTGATAAAGGTAAGTTGAGCTGAATACAAGGATGTTGAAAATCTCCCCCAAGTTTAATGCTATTTTCCAGCCACCCAGACCTGAAGAAACCAGAGGGAATTTCTCACCAGCTGCGGCTGCTGGCCCCGCAGGTCAGTGAGCCCAGGGCAAGCAGGACATAGGAGATGCAGTTGGGAAATGGGGGTCCTACAGCGGCTGATTGCATTCACAGCACAGTCCTGACATTGCTGTATGGTGGCCAAAAGCTATTTTGGTTACTGAAGGTTGTTTTTTTTTTCTGTTAGCTTTCTCAGATGGATGCCTGGTGGTTTATTTATACGGTAGGGGTTACAGCAGCCAGGTTCCTGCAGGGTTAATCTTTCTCTAACCTTGTTCCTGCTTGCTGGGTTTAAAAGCTGTGATCTGGAAGGTTTCAACAAACCTCTTTTGCTTAGCCCTTGGAAACCCATGGAAATGTGTTTTTTTTTTTTTGTTTTGTTTTGTTTTTCCAACCTAGACTTTAAAATTCTCTTGCGAGGCTGCTTCCTCCACAAGTGATCTTTTTCAGCAGTGGTGTGACTTCAGGGGGGCCCCACCAGTACCTGAGGTAACCCCCCGCTGAGGGACATGCAGAAGAAAAACGCACGCCTGCACACAACGATGCGTTTAAATAATTTTAATGCACTTAACCAAAGAGGCTAAAACAGCATTTTAAACCAGTGCATTAACACTACCCACCTGCCTTACAGAAATGCTCGCTTCGCAGCAGCCACCCCACAAACCTGCTGTGAATAATGAGGACACAGCTACGGAAACTGCACTCACACTCACGGGCACGAGAGGGAAGAACAAGTCACACATCTCCTACTGTCCTGTCTGCCCTCAGTCCTGGAAGAACTTATGCACACACTTAAGCTTTTATTCCTGAATAGTTTTAACGCTTTAAGCTGAATTTTGGTTTACCAGCCACATAAACAAAAAGGGACTGATTATACCCAAAATAAATCATCTTTCTTACTGAAATTAAAAAAATAAATGCGGTTTTTCTATAAGAAAAGTAAAGAAAATGAACAGCTGGCTTTGGGGATGTGCTGTTGTTCTCCCTCGTTCCTTAATCTCCCAGGATTAGGGCGCTCCCCTGGGCTGCTGGAAAGGCCCTGAGCCCACTTCTGCCTTGCCAGGTTGCTTCTGTGCTTCCCAGGGGAGCCCTGGGGCCAGGCTCCTGCCCATTTTTATTTTTTTTTTTTAGTGCTCACCTGTCTGGAGCCCCGGGTGCGCCTCATGTCCCAGGCAGTGCCCTGCCTTAACCAGCCCGCTCCATACAGCGGTTCTGCTGCCCTGCCAGCAGCTTTCTGAGTCCAGTTAGTGTTGTGAATCCTGCTGGATGCTTCTTCCCCAGCTGAAAAACCATACACCGAAAATATTTCTCAGCTAGAGCTCGTCCTGCCAAGATCAAGAGGACTCTTTGAGTGTGCAGAGCGATGCCTACAGCTGGGAAGCACCGAGGTCCATCTCAGCAGGTTTGGTTTTATGAGCACACACAAGGTACCAAACATTAACACATGCATAAATAGTTACGTTAAAAAAAATGAGCTGCCCACGTTTTGCAGTGAATATAGTGATCAGGGCTGAGTACACCAAACCTCTCTGATCTCACAGTAACACAGGTATGTTCTGCTCAACACATCAACTTCAGCAAACCTCAGTATTTGTGCATTTAATGCGCATGGGAGAGGTGGAGAAAATTCTTCTTTGCTATATTAAAAAAAATAAAGTGCTTGAGAAATGCTTAAAGGGAGAGGTTTTAGATAAATATGATAGCAGTACTGACTGTGCCTAATTTTAGGCAGGTAAATAATCCACCTTGAAGTCAACATCAAACACTGATTTGCTGGAAGTTGAGCCCATGTCCAAGTACTGTTGGGTTGAGCACACAGGGCTCAGCCCGATGTTACACTTCAATGCTGAACCCTGGGAACATAATTAGCAGCCCTGGAAGTGGTTCTGCTTTGTCTTTAAGAAAGGTTTAGGTGCTTGCTGGGTTGGGTTCTCAGCTTGACCTTGTCATGAGGAAGTCAGGGACTCGGCTCCAACAGCAACAACCTGAGAGCAGGATCCATTGCTGAGAGGTATAACTGTAGTATTTTTGTCTCCTAAAACCCTTCAGTTGGTTGAAACAAATGCTGCCAGACGCAATGGATGCGTACCAAATCTACTAAAACAAGAGATGTTATCCAACCGGAATTAGAAATCATTTCAAGCTCCTACAAGCATTAAAACCTACGTGCAAAGCAGACCTCAGTAGGCTGGAGCTGTATTTACAGCAGCTTTCTTCCTGTTGCTCTTAGGCCCATCCCTCCCTCTCAGGTGGTTCACCCGGCAATGCATTCCTGGAGCATTAGCTGGGGCCTGTGCAAGCTTTAATGGGGTTGGGGATCTTGCTGCAGGAAGGGACTCGGCTGCACTGGCTCCAGAAGTCCTGTCTGTAATTTATTTCTGTAATGCCAAAGTGAAAGGGCACTCTGCTGTGCAGAGGATGAAGCTGCAGTGCACCTTTCCTGTTAAGTATTTTGAAGGCTCAGATAAAAATCTCAACGCATTTTTTTCCCTCTTCCCCTTTCATTTAACTTCATGACCTGGTTCTAAGAGACCACTTCCAGGGAAGTAATTAAAGGCAGACAGGGCAAGCAGAGCAAGCACTGGCTGTGTGTGTTAGCAGATAATCTTCCTAAAATCTTAATCTCAGCGGAAACCAATCTAGACTCGCCTGTCTCCCACCAGCGTTCGCAGAGCTTTGGCAATGCCTAAGGACTAGCAAGGTACAGTGCCTGCTGGGGCCAGTTCCCAAATGGCAGCGGGTGTTGTTCAGGGTACACAAGCCACTTAAAGCAACACATGGTCCAGCACGGACCCTGCTGATGATGCTAGGCAGCAAACACAGGCTCATCAGTTCCTGAGCGAGGCTGGTTTTGTTATATACACTCAACAACATGCAAAATCAGATGCTACCGACAGCAAAAATTAACATCAACTTCCAGCAGCCTTCCTGACCGATCCCACGCCCGGCCTTAGCCGCAGGTCTGGTGGCACGGTGCGAGCCCTCCAAACTCCGGTTCGTCTCCACGTGCAGATTTCTGGTGCCCAGCCACCGGAATTACATGATAGCACAAAACTTGGACTGTCCCGTGTCCCTGGAGACATCCAGCTTGTTTTTGTCCCGCACCAGGATGGCTTCGTTGCCGTACTGCGAGTACCACATGCTGCGGCTCCGGCTCAGGTACGTGTTGGGCGGCGCCGACTCCAGTTTCTGCTGCTGCTGCTGCCAGATGAGCAGCGAGGTGTCCCTGTAGCGCAGCCGGGCATAGCCCTCGGACAAGGCTTTTTCGGGCAGGGGCACCCTCCCGTTCATCACCTTGTCAGTCATCTGCTCAAGGGCACCTTCAAAGGTGAGATCTTCCTCCCGGCAGCTCCGAAATACACCCCGCTGGGGCGGTGCAGACCGACGGCAGCTTGGTGCTCAGGGGAGAACATCCCCAGGGGCACAGCTCCTGGGGGCTGTGAGCTGTGTGCCTGGTACCAGCGCCCCTCAGAAGAGGGCACGGGGATGTGCGCACCCAAAAATCACAGCGGGCAGCCTGGCCTTGCTTAGGGAACAAGCCAGGGCTTTTCCAGAAGCTCACCCAGCGGTGGTGTTGGTGCCCGTTTCATCTTGCAGAGGGGCCGGGCGCACGAAGCTGGGAGTGATGGGGCGAGCGGCTCCAGCTGAGGGTCACCTCTCCAAAGGATGGAGCCCCGAATTATAGGGCACACCTAAAGGGCCCCCAGCAGCATCCAGGCTTGTGCGTGACCTCGTGCGTGACCTCAGCACCCGTCGGTGACCTCTGCCCCCCTGCGTGACCTCACGCCGACACCAGCCCGGCGCTCCCCCAGTCCCTTCTTGATGGATAGCGCCCAACACAACCCAAGACGCTGCCTCCACGTCTCCGCACCCCTCCTGGGCCACCCATCACCTCCCGACAGCACCACTCCGAGGGGCTTCAACCTGGAGGGGGGGGGGGGACACAAAGCAAGGGTCACAGCAAGGCCTGGCACAGCCCCCCCTTTTCCCCTCCCTCCACCCTTTTCCCACCCCTCCACGGCTTTCCCACCCCCACCCCTTGCCCCCATTAGGGTGCCCCCCACCCTTGGGCGCTCCCTGCCCCCCCCCCCCCCGGCCCCACCGTGCCTGCGCTGCCCGGCCCGGCTCGGCTCGGCCCCGGCGCGGCTCCGCGGAGCGGCTGCGGAGGCGCCTCCCGAGCGCATCACGGCGGGGAGGAGCCGCAGCCAACGGCGGGGGGGAGAGGACGGGGCCGGGGCGGAGCCGGGAAGGACCGGGGGGGGACTCGGAGGGGGACCCGGTGCTCGCCTCCTGCCCGCCCCCAGCCGCTCCCGGTGCTGGCTTTGGGGCGAGCAGCGCCCCGACAGCAGCATCTTGGGGTTCCCCTGGCATGGAGCAAGAGAGCTGAGCGAAGGGAGATGGTTATTATTTATTTATTTACTTGTTATTACTTATTTACTTATTTATTTACTTATTTATTTACTTATTTATTTACTTATTTATTTTATTTATATGCTGGTGGAGATAAATCTCAGCTGCCAAGCTTCGTACCGCCCGCTAAGGCAGCGCCCTGGTGGGGTTTTTGCCCTGCTGGGCAGCTGAACGCAGCCCCAGCCGCTCTCACGCTCCCCGTCCTTAGAAGGGGGGGAGAGGACAGTATGCTGGAAAGGGGAAAAAAACAACCCGTGGGGGGAGATAAGGGTAATTTAATTAAAGGGAAAAGGAGGAGGGAGAAACAAGCAAAGGCTGCGCGGAAGCACAGAGGGAGAGAAAAGGAATTCCTGCCCGCTTCCCAAGGGGAGGAGGGAAGGAAGGAAGGACAACGGCAGGATGGACGCATGGATGTGGTCAGCACTGGAGATGTCCCAGCTCCGCCTGATCCCCTCCCGCTAGCACAGCAGAGACAGGAGCCAGCCCAGGCCCCACGCTGGGGAAGCTGCAGAGCAAAATGTGAAATCACTGAGTGGAACCAGATTTGCTTTTCACTTTCCTGCTCCCCTTTGCCAGCCCGCAGGCACTCACCCCATCGGCTGCTCTGGGTGTGCAGGGGTTCAGGAGCTCCACAGCAGCCTCGGGTCTCCACGAGGATCGAGCAAGAGCCACTGCTGAGCACTGTTGGCTGAGCTGTGCCTCCCGCAGCTTTCCTAAAATAGCTGGAGAAGGGAACCCGCAGGGTCTCAGGGTGTGATACAAGTGGTACCAGGCTGCACGGTGACTGCTGACAGCTCCTGCCCGGGCAGCCAGGCCCCAGCTGGGGATGGGTGTCCTGTGGGACAGGCTGGTGCACACGCAGCCTGATCCAGAAGGTGGCAATGGCAATCCACGGACACTCAGAAATGGGGATTTTGTGGAGGCACGGCCCTGGTATTTAAGGGAGGTTTTCAGATGGATGCTCCTAAGAGGCAGCGAGGTGGCAGCTTCTCTGCATGCTCCAGCTGGGGGCTCCTGCCGGCACCGAGTTACTGAGACCCCGGGGATGAAAAGCCATGAAGCCCCTTCTGTTACTAGTTCTGTTTTAGTATTTTTCCAGCGCTCATCTCTCAGGCCCCTCACTTGAGAAAGCAACACGAGGATGGGCCACGAGGGCCGAGAGCTGCGCGCTGGGTGCCCAGCAGAGGGTGGTGTCAGCCTCTGCCAGCAGCTCCGCCGCTGCCCCGGGCTGTCCTGTCCTTCGTTCCCTGGCTGTCTGTCGTTCCCTGGCTGCCTGTCATTCCCTGCCTGTCTCTCATTCCCAGGCTGTCTGTCATTCCTTGGCTGTCCATCATTCCCTGTCATTCCCAGCAGTGCCAAGGGGCAGGAGAGGGGAGCACCAGCTCGAGCACAAAACCCACCCCGTGCTCCTTTCATTTGTCCAATCCCCCTTTCAGCTTTAGGTTCACACTGGAAGCAGTTCCCAGATCCTCTTTGCTTGTCCCATACTCCCTGGTTCAGGACGTTTGTATGATCTGCAGCTCGCAGCCCACAAGAGTGCGTGCTGGCTGCACGCTCGTCGCCGAGCCTTGCCTTCCAGTTGTTTCCCCTCTCAGAAATCCCTGCTATCAGCTGTTTTTCCTGCTGCAGAGGTGGGTGAGAAGCGTCCTTGCTTCAGCACCTCCCACGCAGATGCTGGCTTTGCAGCTGCAGCGATCGGTCCTAAGTGTCCGGGGGCCAAGCAGGGGTTTTATTATGCAGTAAAAAAAGCCAGGCCATAGCAAGCAGCTTTAATTATACGCATATAATAAACTCCTCTGTAGCCCTCTACCTACAGACCTGATCTCACAGGGCAGACTAGGGCTCAGTGACCCAAAATTATCCCTGGCAGGACTCCACGCCTTTCAATGGCTGCGTGACTCCTGCCCACTGGGTGCTGCTGGAGCCCAGGCAGAGAGGCTTAATGGTGAACTTCAGGAATGAGAAAGTTATGGAGAGAAATCACCTCCGCAGGGTACGGGGAGCTGCGGATCAGCATGCTCCCCAGTACACCCAGGGCAGGGCACAGCTCTGATTGCGAGGCCGGGGCACAGGGATGCTGCTCCCTCTCCGTTTATACTCGCACCCATCCTGCCCTGCCAGAGGTGCACCAGGCACCGCACACAGCCAGACTGGGGGCAGATCGAGCACCAGGACATCAGGCTAAAAGAAGCACTTCCCGTGCTATTTAAAAAAAATAAAAAATAAAAAAGCTTCACCAAACTGTCCTTGGAATATCAAACAATTGTTTTTCATTCTTTACAGGGATCTTCCTTCCCATCCTGGAAGCGAAGGGTCATGCCAGCAGAGTTGCTCTTTCTTCTTTATCTCCACTTGGCTACATTTGGAAGAGATTAGCGTTGCATTTGTTTGACATCCAGGTTAATAGCTTCCCTTCGTCCCAGCCTCGGCTTCCGGTGTTGGCTATCTGGAAAGCCAGGACGAAAATTAATTGACAAACTCTTGGGAGAGGATCTCCAAAGAAAACTCAGACCAGATTTGAAAAGAGGCTGCTCTGAAGTGTGCTGATTTGGATGGGAGCCACCGAGGGAAAATTAGAGATTTTCAGGAGTTTGCTGCCAAGGAGTTAATGGCCAAGAGTTGAGGTTTGCAATAAATACGCTGGTAATTAATTATAGGAGTTGTCTTCGTGTTTGAAAGTCAAGGAACACGATCGCTTGTTTGGGTTAAACATCTCCCCTGCAGTATTTGCAGCCCAAACACGAGCCGGAGAGGGGGAGCGTGGAGCCAGACAAAGCAGCGGCTGCTCGGGGGAGGGCCGGGAGGCTGCTGGGGGGGGGTCTTGGGGACCCCAAATGCGAACGGGGACCGGGGGGGAGCGGAGCAGCGGGCGGCTGGGGGGGGTCCGCAGCAGGACGGGGAGCGGGGAGCTGCAGGAGGAGGGAGCGGGGGGGGGTGCAAAAAGAGAAAATAAAGGGGAAAATAAAAAAAAAAAATAAAAGGGAAGGAAAGGAGGCGTGCAGCGCTCCCGCAGACAAAGGGGCGGCGGGGGCGGGCCGGGAGCTCCTCCCGGCGGGGCGGGGGCTTCGGCCCGGGGGTGGTGGTGGTGGTGAGGGGAGGGGGGGGGCAGCAAATTCCCACCCGCGACGGCAGCGGGGGCGTCCCCAGCGCCAGCTCCGCGGCTGTGCAGGTGGGGCGGGGGCAGGAGCAAAAGCAGGAGCAGCACCAGGAGCGAGAGCAGCTTCGGGAGCAGAAGCAGCGGCTGCAGGAGGAGCAAAAGCAGGAGCAAAAGGAGCAGCAAAAGCAGCAGCAGCAGGAGCAAGTTTCCCCGGGCCGGGGAGGGGGGACACGAAGTTGCGCGGGGGTGGCCCCTTTGTTCCCGGGCCGATGCGGCGCGCCTAGCCCCGGCGGTGGGGCCGCAGCGGGGGCAGGGGCAGCCCTCCGCCGGAAAACTCGGCGCCGTCCCCCTCCTCCCCTTCCTCCTCCTTCCTCCTCCTCCTCCTCCTCCTCCCCGCCGATGCTTCCCCGGGCGGTGAGCGGCGATGGAGCGGGGCGGTAGCGCGGCGGCAGCCGCCCGCTGCCCCTGAGCAGGGAGGAGGAGGAAGAGGAGGAGGAGGAGGAGGAAGGTCGTGGCCATGGAGGAGTGGAGGCAGTGCGGCCGCTGGCTCATCGACTGCAAAGTTTTGCCCCCCAACCACCGGGTGGTCTGGCCCTCGGCGGTGGTCTTCGACCTGGCGCAGGCGCTGCGGGACGGGGTGCTGCTGTGCCAGCTGCTCCACAACCTCTCCCCCGGCTCCATCGACCTCAAGGACATCAACTTCAGGCCCCAGATGTCCCAGGTATTCATTGGATTTTTATTATTTTTTTTTTTTTTTTGGGGGGGTGGTGGTATGCGTATAGGGCTCTTTGTGTTGTTCTTGCAAAACTTCGTGGGATGAGTGAGTGCGGGCGTGGATAGGTGTGTGTGTGTGTGTGTGTGTAGAGCTTTTTTTCTAGCCCCCCCGGCTGCCCTTAGCCCCCAACCCCCCTATTTTAGCTCCCAGCCCCGTACCCCCCCCCCGCACCCCGAGGCTCAGCCCCAGCGCCGGGGCTCAGCGCTGGGAAGCCGGCAGCGGCTGCACAAGGGGGCTGGGGGGGGAGAAACCGCCCCGGGGAAAAAAGCAGTCTGTGTGTCCCCCCCCCATATTTATAGCCCTCTCGAAACAAAAGCAGCCAGCACTGCCGGGATGAGGCTGGCGTGGTTACTTCCAGGGCTTTTCTCGAGGCTTAAGTTCAGCTTTGATGCGCTGCAGGAGTGGTGCTCTGAGCGCTGTCCTGGCAGGGTTGCTGGCCCGAGGGGCAAAAGTTTGCCCAGAAAGATCAAAAACGAGAAGAAAACACTCCCCAGGTGCTCTGCCAGCCTGCCCCGGACCTGGGGGCATGGTGCTGTGGGGCTGGGCTCAGCGCTGCCCACCACCAGGATTTGGGGTCGGGTGACCCTAAGGCTTTAGGGTTCCCTCCCTGGGCGTGTTTCCATCTGGGATTGTTTTGGTGGAAGGATGCTTGAACACCAGATTGGCTCTGCCTGGCTGGTTTGCAGCTCTCCGTGTTCCCGCGTGCTGAGCCACGCGGCATTTGCGTGGAAATCGGGAAATGAAAATCGATGAGAAACCAACAAAACCTGGCCGTGCGTCCCCGGCCCCGCAGCTGCCGTGCCCATGGGCAGCTGGGAAGCTGCTGTCCTGTTTGAACAGCCCAGAGCTTGGTAAAAAGGGAGGGGAAATTTCCTGGTCACGAGGGCATGTGAGAATCTGGGTGTCAAAGCATTCACAGATAAATAACGTAACGTTATCTGGAGTTCTGCTGTGCGAGCACGCTGCCTACCCACAAGCGCCTTTCCCTGTTTTTTTTTTTTTTTCCAGAGTTTTGTTCAGGGTAACAGTGGGTTTGTGGCCCTCGTGGCTCCCCAGCCAGCAAAGCACGGCCACGTGCGCTGGGGGAGCTGCTGTGGCTGAGGACAGCTCGCCTGCGGGGTGCTGGGCGCCAAACTGAGCCGTGTTTTGGGGCCCAAAGCGTGTTCTGCTGCGTGCACAGGAGCAGCTGAGATGGAGACCTTGATCCCACAGCCAGCCAGGGTGGAAAACCCCAACCATGCGGGTGAAAGGGCAGCTCTGTCTGTGAGTGCTCCTGCTGGCACGTGGACCTGCTGGTGATGGGGAAGCAGCACGCACCGAGGGCTCTTCCCGGGGTGGAACAGTGCTGCGGGGCTTCCTCTGGGCTCGCCAGGCTGTAAACCCATCAAACTGCCTTCTGCTGATGTTACCGACCGTAAATCATCTCGCTGGAGCTGCACTTGTGCAGGGACTGGCACATCAGAGTCCTACAACCCAACTTCAGTTTAATGTTTGCCCCGTGGGGAAATAGGCAGGGGTTTAAGGACGGGGACCTGCCCTAGATTGCAGCCCCCGTGGCAGGAGCCTCGTGCTGCCGAGGCAGGTGCTGCTTGTTGGAGGTGAGGGTTTACAGCCCAGCTGTTGCTGAAATCGCTTTCTGCTGCACCACCAGCTGCCTTGCAGGCTTTAGGAAGAGCATGAAGTGAGCTCGGGGGGTCGCATGGCTTTGGGCAGCCCGTTTGTGGTCAGGCAAGGAGAGCAGTGGAGAAGTGGCTGCTAGGGCAAGGTTCAGCTCGTGCTGATCCACCTAGACCCGAGCCTTCACGTGTGCTCTTAGGCACTTGATGTTTCTCTCCCGGTTCCTGAAGCTGTGAGTTCTCCCCCAGGGCAGCTAAAGGCAGAGCATCTCCCTGCTCTTTGCCCTGTGTTTGCAGCCCTGGGGGGGGGGACAGGAGGGTGCTGAGCCCTGCCTAGGGGTTGGGTACAGCCCTCGGTGCCCCCCTGCAGCCACCAGCACGGGGTTGGGTTTCTCTGGGCTGAATCTCAAAAAAAAAAAAAAAAAAAAAAAAAAAAAAAAAAGGCAGGAGCTGATTTTTGTCAAACAGCTGCAATGTGTTCAGACACGGGGGCTGGGATGTGCAAGACAGAGTGTGCCTTGAAACTTCAGAGGTTGTTTTTGATTATGAAGGCACATTTTGCCTGACTGGCTGGGCTGGCTAACCAGCTGTTTGCCTGGCTGCAGAAGAGATTTTTTTATTTTTTAATTCACTGGAAATGCCAGGGGACAAGACACTTGTGCTAGACTCGAAACCCCCAGCGCTGTTCTGTCGTCCACCTTTCCGAGTGAATTAAATGGGGTTGTGCAGGTGTGTAATGAGAAACAGCTTTCTGCGGGAGGCGAGCATCGCTTCAAAGGCCAGAGGTGAAATCTCATCTCTGCAAAGAATTGCTCCAAGACCCAGACACTGTCGTGTGTTTTCTATTCTTCCCCACTCCGCACTGATTTGTAGGGCTCTTATTTTCACTCTCAGCCATCAGAGGTGGTGTGGTCGCAGCGTGGCTCTGGCTGTGCAGCACGGCGAGGCCGGCAAGGAGCAGGCTGCAGGGGTTTGCTTCCCTGCTGTGTGGGGTTGCCCTGGTGTCCCCTTCCTCCTGAAGCCTTGCTGTATGTGTGCACCATGCTGCTGTGGTGCTCAGGCCGGGGCACAGCAGTGCTTTGCTCCTTGATGCTAGGCTACGTTCGTTTAACTCGTTGATTTAGCTCCTTGGGTTTAATGAATAACTCCAGCAGGCTGTGACCTCAGGTTTGCTTTTTGCTTGATTCCAGAGGCAGGAGACGTTGTCTCGGCAGGGCAGGATGAGTGCTGCCAGCCCAAAGTTGTTGAACCTTCACTGGGATGGGCAGGAAGAGCAGTGATAAAACCCAGCTCAGTTCGGAGAGCCGGTGGGTGTGAGGCCACTTCTGATGAGCCTGGAGTAAAACTTCATTTCTGCTAATTGCTTTAGCCATGGAAGCTGTTTGTGGCGAGGCGGGGAGCGGGCTGGTGTGCTTGCCCTGGGTACTTATTGATCGGTATGTCTGTTCCTGGGATCGGGTTCGGGGGTAATTTGACCTGCCTTCTCAGCCAGCTGGGAGCGATGCGAGGCCTCACATTCACAAAGGAGAACAGATGTAGCACCCCTCAAACCCTCAGTCCCCATCCCTATGTTCCCAGAGCCCTGCTCCTCTCCCCCTTCCCCTCTGGCACCCCGAGGTTCAGCCATGCTCGTGTCCCATGAACAGGGTGGGGAGCTCCGAGCTGCAGATCCCCATCAATAATCAGCTCTGAATCATCATTTTGTGAAGTCTCCGGTCAAATACAAATTAAATGGCTCTTCACTTGCATTCAGCAGGGTTTTTTATTGCCGTGTTGGGCGAGGCTGCTTTTGTTTTCCTCGGATAAAATTGATCCTCCCTACGAGGGCCAAGGACACTGGTGGGGAAGCCCTGCTGCAGGCTGCTCCGGGCAGGTGGGGGCATGGGCAGAGAGACCCTGCCAGGGCTGGACCAGCTCCTCCAGGTGTCTTTGCAGCTCCAACCAGCTTCCTTGGCTGTCTGAGCACCTTGTGGCAATGCTACCAGCTGTGATGCTGACACCCCGATGTGTATTTAGGCTGGTGGAAGTTCATACTTCAACCAAAGCAGCTGTGCCCTTCTAGGGTCTGATCATGCAGCTTGCTGTAAGGTGAAGGCTCTCCTTAGTATGTTGCATTTGCCTTTCATTTGAGGTTGTCCTGGACACTTAAATATCTCCCAGATACTTGA